ATGGATCGAGTATTAGAAAACACCAGGAAATTACTGATAATTTTGTCATCTATAAAAACAGCATTACAGTTTTATCAGAAAAGTGTCCCTGTGTAAAATTACATGTCTTGAATTTGCTTAAAAAAAAAAAAACTAGTCTTCATGGATTAATTACATTTTTGAGAACAAGGATAACAAGCCTGCATACATTATTTCTATAGTGAAATAAGGCAGATTAGATAGTTAACTCACAGATTAACGTTTAGAATACAATTCCGTTCATAAACTGGGGGCACCTAAACCTGAAGTATAGTCTAGGATACTGTAGCAGCTCTATCGCTTCTCATCTCAATTCCAAATGTAACTGAAGGTGAGGGAAGGCGGGTCACCGAGTGCTGCCAGATCTGTGACAGCTGCTGAACAAAACTCATGAAAACACGACAGACCCTGTGGCTTCAAATGAGGTTTGTGTTTCTAACATTTCCAACGAAGGCTGACATTTCAGGGTGTCTATAATTATTTTACAAATGTCACAAATTTCCTTCTAAAAAAATCCTAAAGTCTTACATATTTACCAGGCTCTTATAAAAATGTATGCATGAGAAAATAAATGTAAAAACCAGCAAAATTTGAAGTCAAATGAAAAACTAGGGGGAAATATTTGCAACATAAATACAGATAAAAGGAGCTCCTACAAATCAATTTAAAAAAAACGCTGCAACCCAAAAGAAAAATGAACAAAGAAAACATGCAGCTCACAAATAAAGAAATCCAGATGACCAATAAGCATAAAGTTACTCAATCTTACTTGCAGTTAAAGAAACATAAATCAACAAAACAAGATGCAATTTTTCATGTCAAACAAGCAAAAATTTAAAAGATTGATAGTACCCAGTATGAGCAAAGGTGAGGAGAAACAGCCTCTCACTCACTATTATTTGGAGTGTAAACTGAGCATTTTTGTGTGGCAATTGGCACTTTGCTTCAAAATTACATTTGGACAAATTCTTTGACCCTGCAATTTTACTTATCAAAATATATACATTCACACAAGATAATCTTCAAGGACATCCACTGCAACACTCTTTAAAACACTAAAACTTTAAAGCAGGAACAACCTATGTGCCCACTGACAAGAACTGGTTGATAAATTATGATATATTCAAACAAGAAACTCTGCAGCATTGAAAAGGTATGCAGTAGAGTATAGAGTCCTAGGATATATTAATGTGAATGAAAGTTGAAGAGCAAGATGTACACTCGAGTGTGGAAGCATACCTGTATATGCATGTAAATTTCCTTCAGGGCTCCAACTCCTGAGGACCCTATGAATGAGTGATGTCCACAAAGTCCTGTCCTCACCTGCCCTTCTCAACTCCTATGGACCCATGCCTATGGCTTCTTTTATGGAGCCAACTCGTCTCATGTTTGGTCTTCCCCTTTTTCCTGCTGCCTACTTTTCCCAACATTATTATCTTTTCCAAAGGATGTGCCCGAAGTAGGACAGCTTCAGTCTTGTCACTTTCGCCTCCAGAGATGTTTCAGGCTTACTTTGCTCTAGGACCCACTTGTTTGTCCTTCCAGTGGTCCCATGTATCCACAGAACTCTCCTCCAACATCATATTTCAAGTGAATCAATTTTCCTGATACTATCAGCCTTCTTCATTGATAGAAGGGCATGAGTATAACTAAAGGGATGATTGTCAGCAAACTGAATGAGGACCCATGTAGGTCAGGCCACTGAGAGGTGATTCCATTGAAGTTGGGTAACATTAATTTGTATCTTTTATGAATTTCTTTAGCAATGTTCAATAGACCTAGAAGAAAAATGGTTACCTGGAGGCGGAATTGGCTAGTGGACACAAAGGAAAGAGAAGAAAGAGCAAAAGAATCTTTTAAACAGCTGACTAGGAGGAACAGCCTTGAAGAGAGAGAAGTAAGGCCTTTTCCTCTGCTTGGAATACTCTCTCCCCTATCTTCTGGGGCTAGAGAAACCTCTTAATCCTTTAAAACCCAATCTAATGCATCCTCCTCTATAAAGGTTTCCGTATCTTCCTCTTTGCTCCCAGGTTCTCCAGACTTAGTAGTTGTCACATATCCATCAATAATACTCCTTCTGTTTCTTGATAAATACAGAGGTATCGACTGTTATTTTACTTGATACACCAGCCGTATGGACAAACTAGAACACAACACTTCACCCTGCATTCCACAACACTAGACTCTCAAAATCACCCTTGTCACTCACTAGCTGTTCATTATGTTCCTTCACTAGTTCATCGCCTCAAATTTACAGAGTCTAAAATTGCCTATGGATTCCGGTTCTCTACTGCTTCTCTTTTCTGTTTACATTCACTCCTTTGGTGATCATCTCCAGTTTCACAACTTTATACACCAAATGTTCACTGATAACTCCCAGATGTTCTTTTTCAGCAGTGACATCCCCACTGGACTCCTGATTCAACTCCTACTCAACATCTCCCCTTGGATGACATGTCAAACCTAACAAGTCATAACTGAACTAATCTTCCCCCACACACCTGATCCTCTCATAGTCTTCCACTTCTCAGTTAATGGCAATTCCTCCCTTCTACTTACTTACTCAAGCCCAAACCCTCGACAATCATCTTACACTTACAACCCACAGTCAATCCATAAACAAATCTGTTACCTTTATTGGTGAAATACATCCAAAATGGAACTGCTACTAACCACATTCACTTCTTTCTATCCTGTGAAGCCATCACCAACTCATCTGAATTATTACAATACCTTCCTAATTAGTCTCCTGGATTTCACCTACCACACTCTCTAACAATCTGTTCTTAAGGCAGTAAGAGTTATCCTGTTAAAAATCTGAATCGATCATATCTCTCCTCTGCTCAGAAATTTCCACTGGTTATTCAACCACAGGCAGGATTCACATAGTACGATATTTGTATCTCCATAGGACTAACAATGTCTTGCCACATAATAGGTACTTAGAAACTATTTGTCAACTGACTAAAATGAAAGTAAATTGGAACCAACTTTGGAGAACCTTAATATCACATTAGAGCTCGGACTTACAAATATCAGGAAGTCATCACATGGATCAAAAAGGAAAAAAAAAAGATAATGTACATTCTGGGCTTGTTTCCATCCCTACTCCAAATAGAGTTACACATAATGATGAACTAAGTAAGAGAACAAAGCCAACATATAATTTTTGGGGAACTAGAGAGACATCTGCAGATGTTGTGTCAGAATTCTGTTAGTGTAATGATTCTGTTGCACTGAAGCATCTTAGAAAACAATAGGGCAATGTACATACAACAATCTCAATAAATACTGCTGTCTTTGGCAGACAGTCCATGTTCGTGTTACTTGTAAATCTCCTTCAGACTTACAGTAAAACCTCTGAGAAAAAATAGACTTCATCCTTTTAAAAGTATTAACCTCTAAAAACAAATTTAGCCCAAAGTCTGATAATAGAATGATATAAATTACAAAGAGGTTGCTAAAGATTGAGATCATTACATCAGATTGCAATGAATTTACTTCTATTGTTTAATTCTAACGATTAATTTGATGTATTTTCAAAATTATACATCAGCAAAATTACCTTCTAAAACCATGAAATTTGCTTATCACATTTTCACATCTCTAAAATAATGATAACAGTATAGAGGACTATTGTGCAAATTAAATGAATATACATAAAAGCTATTAGAACAGTGATGGCCCAATAAGCATCAATACACTAGTGATATTAGTTATTATTTTAGTGGAAGTGAAAATAATCACTACCTTAATCTAATGTGAACTATTTAGAGCCACACAAAATGGTTACCTGTTTGGAAAGAGCAGCTGAGATAACACACATAAAAAGCCAGGTAAAAAGTCGTGAAAAACCATCACCTCTGAACCATAATACACCCAACACAGCTATCTGAAGTCAGCAATAAAATATTTTGACTAAGAATTGTTTTATTATTAAAAAATTATTTTTCACACTGTCATCCTTTTATCTTTCAACAAACGAGATTTATCATTTCAGACGATCACAAGCAGTTCTCTGAGTTTCACTAGCGGTTATCTAGTTATTTTCAGATCCAATGCCAACATACAGTGAAGTCAGGTTCAATCTCCTACCACAGTCCAAATTAAGTTAACACATGGGTAGCAAACAGCTCACTGGGATAACTACATCTTTAACAAGCTAAACCCGAATACCAGACAACAAACAGGAAGACGTTAAAGATCTTTTCAAACAGCGTACATTCATGAACATCCCTGAGCCATAAAGTAAAACCATTATCTTGCGATTATCCACGATAGCAGAGGAGTCAAACTCATTTTCACCCGGGCCCAAATCAGCCTCGCGGTCGCCTTCAAAGGGCCAAATGTCATTTTAGGACTATATAAATATAACTACTCCTTAACTAGGGGAAAAGAGCTCTACATTTGGCCCTTTGAAGGCAAGGGCGAGGCTAATGTGGCCCCTGGTGAAAATGAGTTTGACCCCCTTGCACTACAGATTTCAGCTGAAGGTCAAACTAGCCCACCCTCTCGGGTGAGCTAACAGAGCGAGGGCAGTTCCTAATCATGAATGTGAATGGTAAACGTGGGTGACACAGGCCAGTGACTCCCCTGCAGCTCTCCCTTTTGCCTTTTCTCCTTAAACAAAGATTAAAGGCAGCTGAAAATGAATTGTGAAGTCATGTGTTTTTAAATTCTCCGCCTTCCAATATTTGAGGGGTGGAGCTAAGAAGAATATAAAAAGAGAAAGGCTGGGCCCAGAGAGACGTGAGAGGACCAAGTAAACCAAGATCTAGAAGCCGCCCCAAGACAAGCTAATTGGGGGTTCCGCAACAGTGCTCTCCCCAGCGCCCAGCTTAGCGAGCTCGCATTCGCGGAACGCTATGAGGCCTGATCTCGCTCTTCACAGCCAGCCGGAGGATGAAAGGGGTACCCCAGCACACGAGAAGATGACTTATGTAGACAACGAGAAAAACGTAAAACCCAGCTTGGAATAATACCTCACTGGCCTTCCACTCGCGTCTCCCGGAATGCCGTCCGTGCCGCTTACGTCAACGAGGCGCCCGCTCTGCGTGGCGTGTCAGCGCCGCTTTGTGATGACCTCACGCTGCCTGCCCCGCCCCCCTGACGCTTGCTCCGCCCCTCCGTTCCTTTTACTCTGGCTCTCAAAGGCAAACCGTTCTACTGTGCCTCTGGCTAATGTGGTGGAAGGAGCTTGGGCTGAGACACTGGGCAACTTTCTCTAGATTTGTATTTGGCTAAAGCCCCTAATACAGGTTGAGCTTTTTTAACTAGAAAAAAAAAGTTCGTTACTTAAGCTTTGTTCAGGTTTTTACTTTCACCAAAGCTCATCCCAGGGCCATGGTTCCTAGCACATCCCACTGTCTCCTTCAGAAGGAGCCTTGGAAAAGCAGCTTCCCAAATTATCTGTAGTGAACAAGTTCTTTATTTTTCCAATCCATCGCTAAGAGATGCTTTTGCAAAATGCAGTAAAAAATGGATTACTTGAAAGAAGCAAAATATTTCAGTAAACACAGAACAGACATGAAAAAATAGCAAAAATTGCACATATTGTTCATTGAAAGTGTAGTAAGCAGTTAAGCACCATTTTTACATTCCTAATCCTTTATTCCACAATCGTAATTTATTTAACAAAAAGCTTTGAACAAACACCCTGTATGTCAATACCTAAAGTTTTTTAAGTAGCAAATGAGTTATCTTCTGGTTCATAATTCTAACCTAGCCAGACTACAGCAGCTTCTAGTGGAGGGCAATGTATCTAAACTGTTCCTCTGTTTTGTTTTGTTTTTAATTTTTATTTATTGACTTTAAGAGAGACCGGGGAGGGAGAGAGAAAGAAACATTAATTTGTTGTTCCACTTACTCACGTATGTATGTATCCATTGGTTGCTTCTTGTATGTGTCCTGACTGGAGACCCGAAACCTTGGGATACTGGGATGACACTCTAACCCTGAGCTAGCCAGCCAGGGCGAAATTAAATTATCTTCTGATGAAAGCAATGAATTCAAGATTTTATACAGTGCTAAGTTCACAATTACTGAGCCAATTTTAAAATATCACAGGGTGCAATGTGGTCCTACTGCATCTGACTAGTGCACAATTTACACCTCATGGGAGACCTCCTGGGACTCAACATGTGAGTTCAACAACATCCAAACTAATCCATACCCCATTCAAGAAACTCAGTTTACCAGTCACAGCTATTGCAGCAATGCCAAGTTGCCATAAAAGTTTATAAATGATTATTCTTAACTTCTGCACTCCTCTCAGATAAAGAACAGACAGATAATGAATTGTTCATGGACTGACGACACCAGTCCACAGACCACAGAAGGTGCACTGTCCTTGAAAGTTGGGTAACTTACCTTACCTTGAAGAGTGTCGAAGACTCTTAATACTCTTCATGGTATTAAAAACTAAAGTACCACCCAGAATAAACCAGAGCCTGAGAGATTGCCCTGTACCAAGATGATACTGAGGATTTAAGGTAAATTGTCACATCTTTTCATCACTTGGGTCCTTCAGGAAGCAAATATGGAAATGGAGTTAAAAATGTAAGAGGTTTATGGGGATGGTCATTAAAAGATAAAAAGGGAGGAAGCAGGACTGGGCAAAAAGCCTCCGACCAGGATGAACATCTCACCGGTCTCAGCCAATTCAAAGATAAGCTCTAAAGCAAAGAGTGCCCCTTAGAGGAGACTACACTGAGGAGAAACAGTGAGGCGATGGTACCACCCTCTACGTTCGGTCATTAGCAAGATCATGGCTCAACTTAAAAACAGAGGCATAGACTAAAGGTACTACCAGCTGGAGGCTGCCAGCCAACTGCACTTCTACAACAAATGATAAATTCTTTCCTAAAGGACATCTGAAGAGCACACCTCCTCAGCTGCTGTACACTGGACCGTCTGCACTACAGTAGCACCACAATCCCGTGATTTGTTAAACAAATATTTACTGAGTTCCCATTATGTGCCAGACTCTATTCTACATGTTACCTGTACAGGAGTGAAAAAATTGCCTCCCCTTATGGAACTTACATTCAAATTCACCACTGGGAATACCACCCCCCCCTTTTTTCCCTCCCCTTTCCTCTACTTTACTCTCCCATTCTCTATCTTCATTGCACTTTTTTCTCCTATAACACCTGATTCCAACATTTAAACCTTCCTGGTTCATGCTTGAGTATTGTTTAACAAGCAACGGGGAGAGAAAAGCCACCCAGTGGAATCTAGAAAAACCAAACTCATAGATACAGAGAAAAGATTGGTGGTTGCCAGATGTGTGTCTGTGCAGGGGGGAGGGGAGGGCAGAGCTGGAGGTGGGCAAAATGGGTGAGGGGGTCAAAAGGTACAAATTTCCAGTTATGAAATAAATAAGTCAGGGGGATGTAACACAGAGTATGGCGACTATAGTTTTAAAAAACTTTACTGCATATTTTAAAGTTTCTAAGAATCCCTGGCTGGTGTAGCTCAGTGGATTGAGCACAGGCCTGTGAAGCAAAGGGTCGCTTGGTTCGATTCCCAGTCAGGGCACATGCCTGGGTTGCAGGCCAGGTCCCCAGTAGGGGACACATGAGAGGCAACCACACACTGATGTTTCTCTCCCACTCTTTCTCCTTCCCTTCCCTTCCCCTCTCTCTAAAAATAAATAAAAGTTAAAAAAAATAAAATACTCACTGTGGTGTAGGCAGGTGTGCTGGTAAATCACCCATCATAAAATGGGCAAACGCACTGAAAAAGTCCTCAAAAAAATTCACTGAAGCCAAATGCAGCCTCTCACAACAACACCGGCTGGTACACTGATACAAATGGGTTCCTAGAACACTAACCTAGCAGGCTAAGCCTGTCCTACAAAGGGCCCACCCTCCAGAAGATAATTTTGGGTTTTTTGGGCTCCCCCTTGCATTATACCAAATCATTATGTTGTAGACCTCAAGTTTATATAATGTTATATGTCAGTTATATCTCAGTAAAACTAGGAGAAAAGAAGTTATCCAAAACCTCAGGTCACAGGGGGAGAAAATACTTGCCAAGAGCATTTCAAAACCACTGCATTATGCTACTTCAACTTTCTGTTACTCCATTCCACATTAGAAAGCTGAACTCGCCCCAAGGTACTAGAGAATCCTCCAGCCCTCGGCTACAATGAAAGGGAGTGGACATGCAACAACAGAGCTGGACTGGACGTGGAAGATAAAGACTGATCGCATTCCCAGCGCAGACTAGTTCCTTCCCCTTGATTATGTTACATTACAGATGATGGTGGGAGACACTATAGCAGCTCACAGGGCAAGCAAGCTCTGTGACCCTAGGCAAGTTATTTAACCTCTCTGATCCTCAGTTATCTCACCCAGAAAATAGAGACAATAATGGTACCTATTTCGTGGGTACTGCGAGGACCCAATGAGACACCGTAAGCACTTACCACAGTGCCTGGCACGAAAGCAGGAGGAAATGAGACCACTGTGATGTTAATGAAAAAAGAAAATTATAATGTTGAATTTAGGGAGTTTTTTAAATCTTAGTGTTCAAACTATGTTTAACAAAATCAGGCTCCCAATTAATATCAGAGTAAAGTCTTAAAATTTTTTTTTCTTTTAAAGATTTTATTTATTTATTTATTTATTTATTTATTTATTTATCTTTAGAGAGAAGGAAAAGAAGGTAGGAAGAGAGGGAGAGAAACACTGATGTGCGAGAGATACATGGATCAGTTGCCTCTCGCACACGAACAAGTGGGGGCCTGGCCTGCGACCCAGGCATGTGCCTTGACTGGGAATTGAACTGGCACCCTTTCAGTTCACAGGCCAGCACTTAATCCACTAAGCCACACCAGCCAGGGTGAATTTTTCCTTTTTTTTATTCTAGGGATCACACCCAGGACCTCATACAGAGAAAGCGTGGGCTCCACCACTGAGCTACATTCTCCACCCTGTAGAATTTTTTTCTAGCTTCTGAATGACAGCATGAGAAAAATCACCACTTTACAGTCATCATAACTACTGACTCAGTGAGATTCACCAATAGGTGCTAAATGAAAATAGGACATTCACACCACCCTAAATCATCTCATGACAGATTATTTTAGAAATACAAACAAAGGTAAAAATGGTAATGTCGCCGTGGTGCCAGTGTGGTTGGTGGGAGTCCCCTTCTGACTGCAGACTGCAGACTGCTGACTTCTTGTGTTCTGCCCCGGGGAAGGCAGAAGGGGGCTGTCAGGGCTCGTTTCTGAAGGCACTGATATCATCCTGAGTACTCAGCCCCCCCACCCCCCCAACCCTGCCTGTGACCTAATCCCCTCCCAAAGCTCCAGCTCCTAATTCCATCACCATGGGCAGTAGGATTCCAACATAAAAATTGGGGGGAGGGTTGGGGGGGTCACAAGCATTCAGACCATAGCACTTCACTTCACTGTGCTTTATTGTCCTAGATGACTTACATCAAAAATGGGATAAAGACAGAATTCGAAAACCTTCCTAGGATTGGCCATTTGAAAAAATAATTGTGCTAAAGCAATGGTTATTTAAGGAATTGATTCCTGTCATATTCCTTTCAAATCCCCTGAAACCTTGCCACATAATGATGTCCTTCCCCCAAAATCAATGTTTATAGGCACAATGAAAACAAATACACTTATTTATTACTCAGAATGAATTCTTCCTGTGAATTGCATGCAGCTCTGTGCTCTGATTTTAAAACTGCCTCCTGCCATTCCCAAGAATAAGGCGAGTGCTCTGGACTGATACCAGCTCAAGATGTAAAGGGAAGGGACCTCAGTGCAAGACTCAGACTTGTCCTCATCACAGGTGTGGGCATGTGATTCAGTTAAGTGCTCTGAACCTAATCTGTAGAATCAGTAAAATTATGATTCCCAAAGTAATTATTTTTCTAAATTTTATAACAGAAAGTAGGTGCTCTATTTTGCAGTTTAAGGCTTTGGGCCTGTTTTCTTATGTATTCCTTAAAAGGCCAGGCTCTGCTGAATTTCCAGCACTGTAAGATAGGCCCCTGTTATGAGAAGGTTTAACAGTTTCAGTAAACAGAT